CCTTACTAGGAAACAAATTTTCCGATCGAAACAACAATGACATACATAATTGGTATAAGAATGTCGACATTTCGGAGTTATCGGAAGCATTGGGCGGCTTAGCATAGAGATGCTACACACACACCATTCACATTAGAAAAAAATCGAATACGGAGAAGGAAAATAACAGATTTAATGATTCGTAATCGAATAAGGCTTGTTAACGGAAAGTAACGTCAAATTCACTTCTTTTTTGTATATTTACAATATAGGTGTATATATCTACTTATGCAATACATTGTTTTTTACTAAAACTTTTGTAATTAACGTTGTAATCTCGATTTGAAATTGTTAGAAGAGAAAAAAGAATGAGTCTTCATTGATATCGAGTTATCGACACATATCAGAGGTTCTCTTTTATTATTCACTTGAAGATTGTAGATTATATATATGAAGGATAAGTATACTTCAGATAGATCAAGGTCAAAACCTGCACTCTAACCTTGACAGAAACAAAAGGGAAATCACACGGATTAAAGCTTATATGAACTTTACACCAACGCATATCTACTTTCCAAGTCAAAGAGATCAGATAGCCAAGATTGACGTCCAATGACAATGTATGATTGAGTACGATTCTCCGAAGTTACACTTTCTGCAATTAACGCACCAACTCTATTAGCATTTTTATTCGACCTCCACCTTCCAAAAAGGGATTAAGGCGAGTTGATCCAAGAGTTCTGTTGACCGGAATTTGAAGGATGGTCATGCTGGTGGTCTCTGAACCGCTCCCACCAAGGTTGAGTCTTCGAAGAAGAAGGAAACCTTAGAGAAACGAAGAGTCTTAATACTTTCCAAAGCCCATATACAACTTTGAAATGATGCTTCTTGCTTCGAACAGATCCTAGAGAAGCAACTTCTACCATGTAATAGAGTCTTGCCTAAATGATTCCTTAAGACATAAGAAGCACCACTATCTGATCTCCTTTTATTCCATGCAAACCCAATATTGCATTTAAGCCTACCTGCTTCTGGTGGTAGCCAATGATTCTGAACAAGACTAGAGACCGACGAGCCAATCACAGGGCTCAGTTTTCCGTAATCTTGAACCGTAAACCATTGAGTAGAGACATCTTGAATTTTCCCATTGTATCAATTCCATAGTAGCTCTCAAATAACAGCTTCTTCCTGTTCTTCCCTAGCATCCAAAGAGTCCAAGGGAACATTCTTGTTATGGTATTTGGGAATCGTTACTCTTTGTGGTGGATAACAAGAAGTGCATGTTTTGATATACTGATTCTAGATCAATGTCGTTGGGAG